TAAGTTTTAATCATCTCAACCTCTTCATTTGGTTTTCTCAGTCCAAGAGGTGGCTTCTTCCCAAAGCTGCCACCTCTGCAATACCTTAGCTTAGTGTTCCCATTTTGCCTTTCCAGTTCTTCAGTATCAAGTCATCAGTTCTTTACCAATTGATTCTCTAACCTACTAAATATGTTCTTTTTTTAGGGGAAATTACAGGTTTTTAAAGATTTACCCAAAGGAGCTTATACTATTTCATGTTTGTCTGCATCCTTATAATAATTTCCATTTCCTATTTTTCTTCAATGTTCAGATACTATATTGGTTTCTATAACTTTAAACAGTTAGATGCTTTTGTTTGCAGTTCTTCACTCCCATCACCATTACATTTAAAACAATTCAATCCAAAAATCTATGTGCTGGGATAGTAGACATATTTAATAGTTCTTCAACCATCTCCTTGTATTTTATTCATTTCAGTATGTACTCTATACAACTTTCTTTAGGCTCTAAGTTCATGGCGTTGAAATTAAGACATACCCAAGAGAACTGCTGCTAGAAAAAGAGGGAAGGTCACATCAGGGGTGAAAAAAGAGAAAGACTGTGATTTTTTTCAAAATAGAGAAAACAGTTGGATATTAATGGTGACAAAGAAAGAACCAGAGGTGGAGGCAACAGTGAGCTGCCAGAAGAGATGAAATATTCTCTGGTTATCTTTATAAGTAAATGGAAAAGGAGGGCTTTAAGATTTGGCACTGTGCTTTATGATAGATGACATCATGTGTCTTCTCGAATGTCCAGATTGACTAGATCATCTAACTTGAGACTATCTGGAATTCATTTCAAGAAGACAGGATACTCAAGAAAGCTTAAGGATCTGCACTCAAAGGCTAACTAAACCCAAAGAGGGAAACGTCTTTCATACTTACTTTAAAAGCTTTCAAAAATGCTATTTAAAGCTAAAAAGCATAAGGAGCACGATTACAGTCAAATACTGTGTAATATTTAGGGCAAGAACTGGGATGAAGTGGGGAGGAAGGAAAGGATTGAAAGATTTGTTGCCTAAGAGGTATAATTATACCTGAAACAGATTTCCTAAGAAATTTTCAATCTTTAAGTTTTCTCCTTCTGTACTTTCAAAAACTAGTCTAGATATAATCTTAAAAATGTGTTATCCAGAGGAAATGTGAGATATATCACTGATTACTTTGAGTTCCCAACTGTCCTATTTTTTATAGCTATCTATAGCTACGCAGTTGACAATAAACTATTTCATAAATGCCAGCTACTTCTCATAAGTTTTAAATTGCCTGCTTTCTACCTGTGAAACACAGAGGGAACTTAATTTAATTTTTTCCCTTTAAGTTAACTCTTAGTTGCAGCAGTTAGAGAAAAATTGATTTCTATAAAACTTCTTTCAAAGAATGTTTGACTTGAATGTGGTAACCTACTTTCTAAACTGGAGCTTTTGTAGAGCTTTAGCTTTGTGAGTAGGTAAAATAAGACACTTTTTGTTTTAAATTTAGGGGTACCAATAGGCTAATCCATTTTTGCAGACCTGGAATAGAGTTCCAGGAACTCTATTCCTTCTGTTCTATAGCACCTCAGTTGGCAGCCCTTTTTTCCCTTAATTGATGTAACTCCAGTAAGTGCAAAGTTCTGATACTGAAATATCCATTTCTCATTCACTGAATCAGAATAAATTTCTCATTTCTCCCAGTCAGCTATCTGAGATATCACTAAACTGAAGCATGTCCACTGATAAGCCAAAAGAGTCAAAAGCTGACCTAAATGGATAGAGGCAACCAGAAAAAAACATATTGAAGAGAGTGAGTTTTGAATGAAAGGAAAAGAATTAAATGATAGTAGGCAGCAGAAAAGAATCTCATGAATGGGAGAAAATTATATAGCTTTGTTTCATATGAATGGAATAGAAAAATGGTACTAAGGATATTTTAGTAAATATGTCATCATCTAGAAAGACAAAATATAGAATAGTGCTTTTTTGACTATTTGATAAATTTTCATTTATTTATTCAGTAAATATTTATTTAGCACTTACTATTGCCATTTGATTTTATTTTGGTACTTAGCTGTGGAGTGCATGTATATACATACATACACAGATTCACGTCTAATACTCTGAAACTGAATACACTGAGCCTGAAGTTGCTTATTCTCTTTTCCCTCCTTTTTGAACATTGCTATAACTTCCATATCTTATTCTGTCTTTTTCACAACTCTGTTAGGTTGAATGTTACACCTATTTCACATGAGGACATTGAGGCTCAGAGGTGTTTAGTGATAGACCCAAGCTTGCATATCTAGAAACTGAACCTAGCTCTGTTTGACTCCCAAAGTACTCTTAACTGTTATACTGCCTGCCTGATTTAGGTTAAGTGATAGTGGGCCACTGCCAGCAAGTCTACCTGAGTAAATAATTTATGATATATAGTAATGAGAAATGAAGTTTTAAAATGAGTATTCAATAAAGGCATAAAACTGCCATTACTGAACTCAGAAGTGACAAAATAAAAACAGCGATTGTAAAAGAGGATTCTCGACATATATTTAGGGATAGGAACTGGAAGAAACTAGAAGTGTTTTTTTTTTTAAAAAAGCATGCCAGAAATAGTCATAGCATGACACAGGGAGCAGGATTATGTCATGGACATTTGAAGAAAGATTCAGCTACAGTCAGGAAGGTGGATTTGAGGAGCAAAGGTAATGGAAGAGCTAAAAATCATTCCCCAGTTGCCAGTGGAAACCAGGAATGGTAAATATATTGCATTTGATGGAGTGGATGTTTTAGGTGTGGTGAGAAGATGAATTTGATATTCAAAATTTGTAAAATTAGGAACTGCATTGCGTATGTAAAGTTTTATGACATCATCTTCAGCTTTTATTCACCCCAAACTCAAACTTTTTTATTCCCCACCATAGCAAAGAGACCAAAATACTTTTATAGGAATTGTTTGGAAAGTCTGGGCTATAAAGCCAATTGAACTTGGTGTTGATAGCTCAAGAATGGATTTGGTTGGATCACAGTCTGCTACTTCTAGCAGCCTAGTGCAAAGACTGGGAGACTTTTTTTTTTCTTCCACAATTGGTACATAAACTAGTTAGATATCAGGGTCCATTCTTCCTTCCCTCTCTTCTCTTTTGTTGTAGGTAAAATTCATAGGACTTGTGCTTGTGTCACTGTGGCTGATAACTCAAGATACTGAATAATGATTTCAGTTAGAGAGCTGAGTCTGAATAAAAGATTATATCTAATTCTGGCTATATTTTACAGATTTGTCTCTTCCACTGATTCTGACAAATATTTCCCTTTGGGCTCCATCCTGTTTGTTCAGAGAATAATTTGTTTGGCTTTGTATTCAATAAATGAATCACCAAAGTAACCTAGCATGTATTAGACACCATTGAACATATAGGAAGGTTTTCATCATTGGAGTCTGTTTTACCTAGGCAAATATTTCCTTATTAACTCAATCTAAACAAGCTTCTCAAAATTATATTTTGTTGTAAATGTGTGAGCATGTTTCCATCATTAACTTACAAAATTTTATCCCAATTAAAAATGTTAACTTGTATTTCTTCTTTTAAAAAAATACAATTGTCAGAATTTTTCCTTCTAATTTACTCATTTCTTCTCTTGAAAGAAAAATTAATAATCTCTATGCTCCAAGGTCTGTATTTATGACATTTAACCTTTTCTCACTTCCTTACCAAACAACAAAAACAATAAACAAACTAAAGAAATTGAAAGAAAGAGAAATGAATAACTACAGGCACCAAAATATGATTTGATTCACAGTAACAGAATGGAAATTATTTTGACAAATTTATGGCATTACACAAGAGGACTGCATCTTCCAGAGTTTGAGTAATCAATAGAAAATATAAATTTATTCAACATACTTTCTAGTAAATATTTCATACTTCTTATCTATAAGCTTTATAGCTTGTCACAGATACACACTTCTTAAGTGATGATTCTGTAAAAGGAAGCAATTACCAAGAGTGACACTAGTGCTGTCACTTCATACTTACAGCGACCGCCTCCAGGATTTGTTTGACAGCATCTGCAGCATCTCGTTCACTGTAATATCCCTTTTCCACAATCCTAAAACAAACAAACAAATTAATAAAAACCCATGAAATGCTTCTCAGACACATGCATTCAGTTAAAAGAAGTTAATCAGATTAATGTTAATGAAGATGTATCTAAACAATTGCAACAGGCTACCATAACACTTGGGGAAAGACGTCCATGAACTAGCACTCTAGAAGTCTTCTGGTTTATTTAGGAAAATGAGAAACATTACTTTGCTTAGGCTTGAACTATCCATCCTTATCTGAGGACAAAAAAATTCTTTCCTTTTAAACTCTGTATTGTGAATTGTTTTAAATACATACCAAGTAGGCAAAATACTATGAACTATCCAATGTAACTGTTTCACAGTTCCAGCACTAATTAATTCATGGCCAGTGTTGTTTTATCTAGTCAATTAATTACTGCCCCTCCCCCTCCTTATTTATTGTTTTGAGGCAAATATCAGACATCATATAATTTAACTCATAAATATTTAGGGAGGCATCTCTAAAAGACAAAGGATTTTTAAAAATCATAACTACAATGTCATTATCACACCTATAAATTACAACACTTCCTTAATATTTTCAAATATGCACTGTTTCAAATTTCCAATTGTCTTGGATACGCTAAAATTTGTCTGCTTGAATCATTATCCAAATAAGGTCCATACAATGGTTGGTTGATATGTCTCATTTTCTTTTACTTGTAACTCCGCTCTCCTATTCCTTTGCTCTCTCTCTCTCATTTGGTTTTCTTTTCCAAATAAATGACTTGCTCTTTTTGTATGGGTGTGGACAAGGAATTTCTCTTTGAAGTTAAAGTATTTCCTTTTTTTTTTTGATTTCAGGTTTTTCAGAATTATTAC